TCAGTGACGAGAAAGCAACTGAGACAGATGATTTAGTATCTGATATATTTAAAAAGGCATCTCAAATCACTGGGGAAAGGAATTGTTCACTAACTACTAGTGAGACAATCAGCTTTATGAACAAAAAAATAAAAAGCCTCATTTCATCTCTCCCTCTCTCTCTCACACACACACATACACACTCTTTCTCTCTGTCTCTCTCTCTAGACTAAGGAACTGTAGAAGCAAAATTGTAAGCATATTGGAAGAAAATATGGAATATATTCCATATACTTACAAGCTTAGAAAAGTTCTTTTACTAATTATCTTTAACTATTTTTGCCAAATGAAAAGGCTTCAAGAGCACTTTGATAAACCCTATGTTCTCACCACTGCTCAAGGCATAAAATATAACAAACATAAGTGAAGTCAAAGAGTTCCTACTCTCAAAAAGTGCTAAGTTTAGGAAGGTAAAACTTCACAATATATTGCAAGAACACAGAGAATACCTAATTCTGACAGGGTCAGCCATAAAATAAGGTTAAGAGTTTTCTAGACAGAGAAAATAGCATGTACATGAGCTATACATAATTCCTGACTGTCTACTACACTGTCTACTAGAGCTTATCAACGACAAAGTGTCAGCATGTCAGTCTACCAACTAAAGCTTTACTACCTATAAACACAATAGCTACAAACATAGCTCTGGTGAGTTTACCTTGCTAGGGGAAGGGGTTATAAGGTGTTTTGTAAGAGAACATCCAAACAAAAAGAGAACGTGAACTAAGGTAAACACCTGTTATTCCAGCACTCAGGAGGCTAAGGCAGGAGGATTATCTCAAGTTTGAGGGCAGTGTAGGCTACGTAGTGAGTTCAAGGCCAGCCTGAACTATATCGAGACCCTGTTTCAAAAAGAATTTAAAAAAAAAAGGATACACACACAAATTCAAAAATGGGCTGTGGATGTGGCTCAATACAAAAGTCCTGGATTCAAACTCCAATCCTGAAAAGAGAGAGGGTGAGAGACAGTGCAGAAGACACCAGTATGAAACATACTACTAAAAAGTAATGATTATATCAAGCTCTTTTAAGTAAAGAATAAAACTGACTACTAAAAATTTGGAGGCAGAACATTCAAATTGTAATGGGGGCCACAGATTTACTGTGTTAAAAGAAATGAAGTAACTGCATTATATGTGTATACATGAAGCTTTAAAACAGTAATCTGCCAGGTATGATGGTGCATGCCTGTGATCTCTGGACCTGGCAGGCTGAGGCAAGGAGGATCAACTGTAAGTTTGAGACCAGCTTGGGCTACAGTGAGTTGAAGGCCAGCCTGAACTACACAGTGAGAACTTGTCTCAAAAAAAAAAAAAAAAAAAAAAAAAAAAAAAAAAAGACAAGAAAAAGAATAATCTATCCTAAACCATAAATTAACATGTAGTTCTCTTATTCATCATCAATTAGCTACTTATTTCTCATTAAATCTCACTTAAATACACTAGATGGCCACATAATAATAACAAAAAAGTAGAGTCTAAATATCACAAGTGTTTCTTAAGCCTTCCAGACTGACTACCTGACTACCCTGCTTCTCAATTTCAAACACCTCCTGGAATTTATAAAATAACACAATGTAGTTGATTCTTTCCTTTAGCCACCTTCCTGTCTCCCCTTCTTAATTCCCTTTAGCTTTTATCTCCTAGCTATGAATGTACACAAAGATAAAGTATGTGGCATCTACTTTCTCTTGAAACACATAATTTCAAGAATTCTGGCTTGGCTCTTTAATTCTAGTTACATATCATCTTTTTGCATATTCTGTCTCTGACTTAAACTGCCTATTTATAGAGCCTATCACTCTCTTACCTATCCATTACATTTTAGCTTGGCCTGAGTAGCCATTCACAGTCTTGTTTTACCTTTACAGCATCATCTAGACCAATGGTGGCAAACCTATAGCACTGTGTCTCAGCCAGTTGTTTGTTATCACTGAAAGCTCTAAAAGGTTCACCATGACTGATCTAGACTCTGAGTTCAAGCAACAACAACAACAACAAACTAGAGTTCCTGTAATACACTTTGTTCTTTCAGAGTTTGTGCTTCTACATATAGTATGCCCTGCATCAATGCCTTCCTGATCCTGCTTTGCTCTACTGATTGTTTATAATCCAGGTCAAACATCTGTGGAATTTACCCCCCATTCTCACAAACATCTTTGTTCCTGGTACATTTTTATATAGTTCCCTAAAAGGATTTATAACATTACAGAGTAATTATTTTACATGTCTTGGTATGCTCAGAACTTAACATATTTTGAGGCACCCTATGGACAAGTTAGCAGTGTAGCTTTTTTTAGTTTTATTTTTTGCTGTGTTGAGGATCAAACCCAGGGTCTCAAGTACTACTGGCAAAATCCCCAGCCCAAGTCGGTTGTAAAAGACCTCTGATATGGTCATATTATTCTACTCACTGCCACTCAAGCATGCTATATGAAAACATTATGTATTATGTTTAAGATCTCAGATTCTGAAGCCAGGCTATATAAATGCAAATTTAGGATCTACTTATTAGCTAGGCAAACTAAACTAACCTTTCTGTGCCTTGGTTTTCCTTTGTGTTTAAAAAAAAAAAGAAAAAAGGAAAATGAACTCTACCTCATGAGATTATAAGGATTCAATTCATTATTATAAGCAAAGTATTTAAAACACTGGTGCGAAATAAGCATTAAGTATGTACCAGCAATTATAATTAGTATACCTTGGGCCCTTTCCACATGTGAGTACTCTTATTATGTTCTGTATTTTCCATTCTATATTATGCGGTCCATGCTGTATTAAAAATGGGTTTCCTTCATTTTTCCCTTTATCTAAATCTTACCCAGATTTTGAGACTGACATCTGGTATGCCCTTTATCATTCCAATCTTCATATGATCACTCTTTAATTTAAATATCTACTGTATAGCATTCCCTGTATCACTCTACTTAATTAAAATTGCTTACATCTGAATAATATTTCACATATAAGTTTGTCGACCCAATTTTTAAACTCTGAAAGTCCTGATAACAACTTAGGCATCTTTCTGATTTCCTATAGCAGGTGATAAGTGTGTAGTCGTTGGGTAAAGATAATAAAACTCAAAAGAAATCTCAACTCTGATCACACGGCCTTTACAATGAAAGAAATGGAGAGCACTGTAAGAACAAACGCTCCTAGAGTCCCATGCTTCTCTAGGAGCCAAGCTGCAAATGTATTAGAGCCAAGGAATTCTGACTCCTGTTAAAATGAGAAACTCTAAAATAACTTCTGGAGGGAAAAATCCTCCCTGTTTCCTACACAGGAGTTAGGGATAGCACTTCAGTTTCCAAATCAAATTGTAGCACTAAATTCTCTAAGAAAAACGTGTCAACACCACAAGATGTGAACACAGGATTTGCAGTCAGAAAGGTTACAGGGGGACCCCTGAGCCTGTTTCCTTCTCTATACTGCATATTGTACCATCTACTTAACAGGTAATATACTGTACTTAATTGACAACCACATAAAGATTTAACTGAAATGCCAAATTTCCTTAGAAAAAAATTTGTAAAGAAACTGAAAACACTACAGTTCACAAATTAAAAACGCGAACATTTTTAGTTACCTAAGAATATGCTACATTAGATTGGCTGGCATCGGTAGTTTATAAGTATCTATGAGAAAAACAAGTACAGTATTATCAATCATAAAGACGAGGATGGAAGGAAAATTTTACCATCAATTTTATCCTTCACTGTCATTCTTTGTAATTTGTTCTTTCATTGTGACTAAAAACAAGGGTGCAAAATTATCTCCCAAGGGAAATGTTTGGGGGCTAGGGATTTAGCTCAGTGGTTCTACTGCCTGCTTCACAAGTGCAAGGTCCTGAGTTGGATCCCCGGTACCAAAAAATAAACAAAAACAACAACAACAAAACAAAAGGAAATGTTTGCAAAGTACAATTTAACCGGCATATAAAATCAGTTTTATAAATGTATTCCACCTTACAGTTCATATTCCCAAATAGCTATTAATGTAAATTTAGGACATTAAGATAATGGAGAAAAGCTTAAATGATGATCTGAGTCAGTAATTTCAAATTAAGAGTTTTTCCAATTTGAAGCTGGCAGTCACACACAGTCTAAAGGGTTTGTTTACAGCACTGCCTAAAACAAACACCCAAATCTTTTAGAAAATTCTACCTAGAGTTCTAATAATAATTCTTTTATGGCATGCTAATTGCTGAAATGAGCAAAACTACACAAATTAAACCCAGATAAATTTCCTTTGGAAGGGGGAAAAAAAAAAGGAACAAACGTGGCAAGTCTTACTTTCAACCTGTGACTCCCCACCCCCACTCCCACCCTGTTCGGAGTTGTGAATCAAACGTTGTTCATCCACGGAGAAAGCACAACTTTGCCAAAAGACAAGCTTAGGGTGAGGGGTGAAAATGTGAAGATGGATCTATTCTCCTCAAGATACAGCAGTGTGTGGTAGTACACGGATCAACAGAAAACACGTTAGAAGTATCTGTACGCACTGTGAACTTTCAACAATGCTGAGACCTTAGAGTTTAAGGATGAAAAGATGGCTCTGGGGAAGGGAGTCAAGCTCTGAGAAGGGAACGAAGAGCCAAGTGTGAAGCCGGGGGCGACAAAGGGGCAGCGGCGGGGCGCTGGGAGTAGGTGGACCGTGGCCAGAAGTCTGGTCTCCGCGGGAGTTTGGGGCGGGGGCTCAGCGAGGGTGTTGCCAGCGCGCGCGCGGTCGGGGTTAAGGTCACACCTGGGGTTGAGAAATGGAGGTGACAAAGTTGGGAAAGTCGAATTCGGAGATGGGAACCGGGAGAGGAAGGAATGTGGGGATTTCCAGGCTGGGACTGACAAGTTCGGGGAGTGTCGAGCGCTCGGTTCTAGCGCAAGGAGGCCCTCTCAGAGTGGCCGGTCCGCCCCGGCGCAACCCACACCCTCGCGGACACGGCCTGCCTCCCCCGACCCCTCTCACCTCAGGCCGCGAAGCCCCGATCCTCGAGCTCAATCTCC